TATTATGAAAGCTTAGTGTACATAATACACAAATGTTTAACAATGGTTTCCAGGATCCACAAACTTTACAGGCACATAGAAAAAAGTCAAACACTGACTTATTTCTGATCAGAAACTACTTTTATTAAATCTGCACATGATAATTTATACAAATTAACATGAAGAGACTATTTAACTTGAGAAAAACACATCAACACTGAAAGTTTAAAGCTGGCCAGAAGATGCATTTTTTCATTTATTGCACGGAATTAAAAAAAAATTGCCTACTCAGCCTGAACCCAAGGAACGAGTCATCCATATCATACGAAGCATCAGCAATTATGACTGATGCCGATCAAAATTATTATATTTTAATCAGAGATATGTGCAAACCCATACGGGTTTCATAGCGCCTGTGGAATGGAAGGCATTCACATTTGTTCGGAGGAAGGGAAAAATAAATCCAGTCCCTTGGATTAAGAACCCCTTACCATCATCAAGGCAAAAAATAGCAGTAGCAGCAGGACATCTGTATACTCCAATAATATATCAACCCTCTCCTAAGTAGCATACACCAATGTTGAAATTTTGAAGCCGATGAGAGGAACTTGTCTCCACCCATCACACGCCAACATAAATCTGGGAATATCCTATGTAACATAAGACACAAACTCATTCCAATAATCCCATGAATCTTGCCCAAGATACATTACACTGAAACACTATACAAACATTGAAAATTCTAAGCCGGTCGAATACAGCGTTCTCGAGTAATAAACGAAAATTTGCAAGACAGCACGCGAAAATGTTACCGACAATGTTCAGAAAAATAGGAAAGTCTTCCCCTCATTGTTAAAAAAACACCATAAATCTGCTTTTTTTTTTAGTTTATTTTTCTGATTTACATTCTATTTAAAATTCTCCACAATCCTGTAGGAAAAAATATTTTGATCAGTTTAAAAAAATCTAATTTGATAAAATTGGTAAATAAACAGGAAACTTGGCACCCACACAGCCTAAAATTAATGTATAAAAATACTATCATTGAGAGCTTCATACTGATGGCAAGTAATTTTTTTTGCATGATTGAAGCTTTGGTAATGAAGATTATGGAAGTTATCCGAGGCATTTCAGGATGTTGGGAATGGCTTTAACATTTTTGGTCATAGGACAAGTGCACATACCAATTGCTCTAAAAGAAATTGGGATATTCGTTATCTTACACATGTGTTGAATATTTGAAGCCAATTGGATGAGGCTTTCTCGAGTTCTGTGCTAAATAAAGTAAGTTTGAAGAAAGAAGAAAAAGAAAAAAAAAATCAGGCAGCCTCTTGGAGGTAATGTTTCAGTGATACCTAATTACTGAATGTTTTTAGTTTCTATTTCTGTTTTTGGCAAATGAAAATTTCATTATCACAGGAAGTGGGTACTCTATAGTTCAGTATCCCTGAAGGGGTACTCCATAGTTCAGTATCCCTGAAGGGGTACCCTAAAGAGGTTGCCTGACTTTCTATATTTTTCTTCCTCCAACTTTATTTTATTTGCTCATAACCTGAGAGAGCCTCATCCAGTTCCCTTCATTTTTTATCAACACTTGTGTACGGTGTGAGGACCAAATTCTAGAAACAATTTGCATATCAACGCGACCTAAGTTATTGAACCCATTCCCATCCTCCTTGAATTACTCGGATAACATCCGAAATCCTCAGTGGATTAACATCAAACGTTCAAAAAATTGTGTGTGAGAAATAGGGTGAAGTTTTATTTCTGTCAAGTCATGTTAAATAATTTTCAGTTTATCTCTTCTGCACCTTAGGAGAGGATAATACCCACTGAGTTTCGTTTGCTTGCAGAAAATATGTTGTAGTAAAAAAATATATATATAAATCTTTGAAATTCGTGCCAAAACCTGATAGGCTTCAAATTTTCACCACTGGTGTGGTTTCATTAATACAAGGCTCCTGCTGCCATTGGGTGGCACAAATCCCATTTGAAATTGGGGATGGAGTTTTAAAGGCAATCAACTCGTACCCATAACTGATATGAATTCTACACCTGACACTTGAAAATGGTACATTGCAAATCTTGTTGCAGTACCACCCGTTGCAGTTGCAGAAGATACGAGTATCCATGTATTTCTGTATGTGGAACATTCACACAACCAACATTCAGAGAAAATAGAGGATTCCTTTGAGAACTAAGCTTTTGGGTTTATGTTCACACTCCCTTGACCAACTGACCTCAAATTAAAGCAGTGTTTTGAAGGGCTCTTGAAGTGTTGGATTACAGCTTCTGGGTCTTTTGATATAATCACAAGTATCCGATTAATCCCGTCTGCTAGTAGTTTGATGGGGCTGTTTCAGCTTTAAAGCTGACCATAACAATCTGTAACATTATCTTTATATCAAAGAGTTAACCTTCAGGTCCTGAACCTGTGCCGAGTTACAACTCCTGGGGTCTATTTAGCATGTTGAGCTACAGCTCGAGGAATCTTGGTAGATGGCGAAAGCCAACAAATGGTGAATGATATACGAAACTTACTCTGCTTATGTATCTCATTCATCAAGAAACCTTATGGGCCAGGTTTGCCAGAGATACGGGATAACTCTCTCTGTGACACGAGTGTGCACGAATGTGCATGTATGCTTGTGTGTGTAAGAAAATGTATGTGCGTGAGTTCAGCTGACTTCAACCTCAATAAATCAAATGTTCGACGAGGCTTCGTAGAGTAATGAGAAAAGTTGAACAATGAATCGGCATTATTGGGTAACCTAAAGTGGTGTTTACCTAGATCAGTAGCTGTGTCCGAGTGCGTTCATGCGTTCACTCATCCAGCTAGTGTACATGTCGAATGATGCATAACCTTCCTTGATCGATGGTGGAGTGAGGGGGGTAAGGGGCTCAGCTTCCCTGAGGTTGTTGGTGGGATCAAGGCCAGCTACTCACTCCCGTGGGTCGATAGTGGGGAAATGTTGCTCAGTTATCCACTAGTTGGAGTGAGCAGAGATTTCTAATTCTTACAGTTCCTAGGACGAATGGGGCAGAGAGCAGATTCGTTTCCCTTAGGTCGTTGGTGTCAACAGTTTGGTAGATGATAATGCCTGCTGGTTCGATGATGGTGGCTGCTAAGTCGATATCGGTAGTGGCTGGGTCGATGGTGGTTGCTGCTAGGTCGATATCGGTAGTGGATGGGTCGATGGTGATTGCTGATAGGTCGATATCGGTAGTGGCTAGGTCGATGGTGGTTGCTGCTAGGTCGATATCGGTAGTAGGTGGGTCGTTAGTGGTGGCTAGGTCGATGGTAGCAGCTGGTAGGTCGATGGTGGCAGCTCCTAGGTCGACAGTGATGTCTGCAAGGCAGATGGTAGTTGCTGCTAGGTGGTACGCAACAGGTGCTGCTAGGTGGTACGCAACAGTTTGCTGCTAGGTGGTATGCAACAGTTGCTGCTAGGTGGTATGCAACAGTTGCTGCTAGGTGGTATGCAACAGTTGCTGCTAGGTGGTATGCAACAGTTGCTTCTAGGTGGTATGCAACAGTTGCTGCTAGGTGGTATGCAACAGTTGCTGCTAGGTGGTATGCAACAGTCGCTGCTAGGTGGTATGCAACAGTCGCTGCGTCTATTGCTAAGTCGATGTTGGTAGGTGATAGGTCAATAGTTATGACAGTTGGCTGGTATTTTTTAATTCTCTTTTGAAAACAAGTTTAAATAAATAAAAAACACACACACAAAGACAGGGACAAGAGAAAAACTATTTATGTAACTATGAATATGTAAATATAATTAAGTAATTAATAACATTCATACAAATGAACTCACACTGAAGTTGACACACAAATCAGTGAGTACATATACATTTTCACAAATATACAAACACATAGGCACATATTTACCACCGGTCTGCATATGTACAAATACCAGAGCCGACAAGAAAGACGTATAGAATAGTCTAAGTCACAACAAAACTGAGTTTCCCCAATCTGGATAAGAATAAATCAAGAAAACTAAAACGACAAAAAAACGTACACTGGACAGAAAGTAATAGACTAACTGACATTGTCGAGTTAAAACCGAGACGAGATTATTTTTTACAGATTAAGAACAGCAGAGACAGAAGGAATGAGGGAAGATATATCAGAGACTCCTTACAGGGATCCGAAAAGTTAATGTGACAGAGGTAGCTCATGTCAGAGGCTACAGAAGCGAGGAGTAGGAACCGGAGTTGATGCCCAACATACTCATCTGGGTAGGTCTTAATAGAGCTACGAAAATACTTAGGATGGAGTGGCCGACGTGTACCTCGTTCTGACACTTATGGAGTATAACATGCCGAGTGGCTGCGTGGAAACTACCTCGCCCTTGGCTACACACTTAAAGAAGCCATTTACGTCTTTTACCTCAGCACTTTATTTCATAACGTTCAAATTCACATAGAACATTGCATGTCGTATCATACATAAGGAAATACCTTGTATTGGAGCATTTACAAATAATACAAATGTCTTATCTCAGTACATTTGAGTCCCCAGGTTTTGCTCTTTCTCGTTTGTTGTACACCTGAGTGTGTGAGAGATAAGATAAGCTAGCAAAAAAAGTAAGACTTAAAAGGCACCGTGACATACAGGAACAAGACAAAGAAATAAACATCGTAACATTTAAAATATCTTAGCTTTTACACTGAAAATTCAAGTTTCGATAATTCCAGCAGCTAAATTTTTCAAGAAATTGCTTACAATGTTCAATCAAATGTGAGTAATAAATCTCTTCATGAACTAAGGAGTTGCAGGAGGTAATTAAGTATCGAAACACTATTCTTAGGCTTGCTAGGCGACCATATGATGCAGCATATATTTGGTTGTGTGCCTCAGGAGATGTGCTCGGTATTACACTCACCCCAAGATACTTTTCCTTGAGTAAGGTTTACAGTTTTTGGCCCCCTAGCCTGTAGTCAAGTTGCCTGTAGTCAAGTTTTTTTTTCAGTTGTACATATGGTAACTAAAAAACGAATTTCTTTGTCAACAGAACAGTTCCCGGCAGCAATGCATCACGAGAGTGGATCAGGAACCCTTCAGTCAGTCAGTGTGACCGTCCTCCTCAGCCTCTTCCTTCTCGCCACCAGATGATGTGTCTACCAAACAGAATTTCACGTTTTGTACTCCCTGCATTTTGTATGGGCTACTGTGAAAAACCTTGTTGTATACTTTGTATTTCCGCACGGATATAAAAGTAATAAATGCTACATGTAAGAGACGTATATGTATATTATATATACTGTCAAATGTATTTGTGTATTAATTCTTGATTAATATAATGTATCACCATCACAACAGTCTTTCAATGTTAACCATAGATATTCTCTTAAATTTTAACCATTTGTCTCGGCATTTTTTTTTAAATATACGAAATAAAAAATTTAACCCTAAAATGTGTGCTATGTAATCAAAACAGAAAAAAATATAATTCGTGTTTAAAGTCACAAATCACCGAGGCGAGGCATAACAAAATCAGAAAGGGGAGAGGTTCAAATCTCTTCGATGATGGAATAATGGGTAGGGATTCTTGATAAATTTGTGAAGAGTTTTTTAATCTAAGGAATTAGAGCTACTCTCCCCGCTCAACGAATTACAGATACGTTTTACGTCCCAGTCCACAGGCGATCTTGGAATCTTATAGGTTTAGTAACATATGGTATAAACCTTGGTAAGTGATACCGACAAACTGGTTTAACAAGACACGTAAGAAAATACTTGGACATATTTATTTAGGAAACGTTTCGGTCCTGGAACCCTGAACGCTTCTTACAAAGATTAATATATATATATATATATATATATATATATATATTATATATATATATATATATATATATTATATATATATATATATATTATATATATATATATATATATATACATATATATATGTATATATATATATATATATATATATATATATATATATATATATATATAATAATTATATATTTTTTATTATCACACTGGCCGATTCCCGCCAAGGCAGGGTGGCCCGAAAAAGAAAAACTTTCACCATCATTCACTCCATCACTGTCTTGCCAGAAGGGTGCTTTACACTACAGTTTTTAAACTGCAACATTAACACCCCTCCTTCAGAGTGCAGGCACTGTACTTCCCATCTCCAGGACTCAAGTCCGGCCTGCCGGTTTCCCTGAACCCCTTCATAAATGTTACTTTGCTTACACGCCAACAGCACGTCAAGTATTAAAAACCATTTGTCTCCATTCACTCCTATCAAACACGCTCACGCATGCCTGCTGGAAGTCCAAGCCCCTCGCACAACAAAACCTCCTTTACCCCCTCCCTCCAACCTTTCTAGGCCGACCCTACCCCGCCTTCCTTCCACTACAGACTGATACACTCTTGAAGTCGCTCTGTTTCGCTCCATTCTCTCTACATGTCCGAACCACTCAACAACCCTTCCTCAGCCCTCTGGACAACAGTTTTGGTAATCCCGCACCTCCTCCTAACTTCCAAACTACGAATTCTCTGCATATATTCACACCACACATTGCCCTCAGACATGACATCTCCACTGCCTCCAGCCTTCTCCTCGCTGCAACATCATCACCCATGCTTCACACCCATATAAGAGCATTGGTAAAACTATACTCTCATACATTCCCCTCTTTGCCTCCAAAGACAATAGTTCTTTGTCTCCACAGACTCCTAAGTGCACCACTCACCCTTTTCCCCTCATCAATTCTATGATTCACCTCATCTTTCATAGACCCATCCGCTGACACGTCCACTCCCAAATATCTGAACACATTCACCTCCTCCATACTCTCTCCCTCCAATCTAATATCCAATCTTCATCACCTAATCCTTTTGTTATCCTCATAACCTTACTCTTTCCTGTATTCTCTTTAATTTTTTCTTTTGCACACCCTACCAAATTCATCCCACCAATCTCTGCAACTTCTCTTCAGAATCTCCCAAGAGCACGGTGTCATCAGCAAAGAGCAATTGTGACAACTCCCACTTTATGTGTGATTCTTTATCTTTAACGCCTCTTGCCAAGACCCTCGCATTTACTTCTCTTACAACCCCATCTATAAATATATTAAACAACCACGCTGACATCACGCATCCTTGTCTAAGGCCTACTTTTACTGGAAAATAATTTCCCTCTTTCTACAACTCTAACTTGAGCCTCACTATCCTCGTAAAACTCTTCACTGCTTTCAGTAACCTACCTCCTACACCATACACCTGCAACATCTGCCACATTGCCCCCCTATCCACCCTGTCATACGCCTTTCCAAATACATAAATGCCACAAAGACCTCTTAGCCTTATCTAAATACTGTTCACTTATATGTTTCACTGTAAACACCTGTCCACACATCCCCCCCCCTAACCTTTCCTAAAGCCTCCTTGTTCATCTGCTATCCTATTCTCCGTCTTACTCTTAATTCTTTCAATAATAACTCTACCATACACTTTACCAGTATATTCAACAGACTTATCCCCCTATAATTTTGCACTCTCTTTTGTCCCCTTTGCCTTTATACAAAGGAACTAATGCATGCTCTCTGCCAATCCCTAGGTACCTTACCCTCTTCCATACATTTATTAAATAATTGCACCAACCACTCCAAAACTATATCCCCACCTGCTTTAAACATTTCTATCTTTATCCCATCAACCCCGGGCTCCCTTTAAACCCCCTTTCATTTTACCTACTGCCTCACGAACTTCCCCCACACCAAAACCCTGCTCTCCTCACTCCTACAAGATGTTATTCCTCCTTGCCCTATACACGAAAAACACAGCTTCCCTATCTTCATCAACATTTAACAAATTCCTTAAAAATATTCCCTCCATCTTCCCAATACCTCTAACACTCCATTTAATAACTCTCCTCTCCTATTTTTTAACTGACAAAACCCTTGTTTCCTAGCTTCCTTTAAATTGTTAATCTCACTCCAAAACTTTTTTCTTATTTTCAACAAAATTTGTGATAACATCTCACCCACTCTCTCATTTGCTCTCTTTTTACATTGCTTCGCCACTCTCTTAACCTCTCTTTCTCCATATACTCTTCCCTCCTTGCACACTTTCTACTTTTTAAAAACTTCTCATATGGTAACTTTTTCTCCCTTACTACTCTCTTTACATCATCATTCCACCAATCGCTCCTCTTCCCTCCCGCACCCACTTTTCCCGTAACCACAAACTTCTGCTGAACACTCTAACACTACATTTTTAAACCTACCCCAAACCTCTTCGACCCCATTGCCTGTGCTCTCATTAGCCCATCTATCCTCCAATAGCTGTTTTATATCTTACCCTAACTGCCTCCTCTTTTAGTTTATAAACCTTCCCCTCTCTCTTCTCTGATGCTTCTATTCTCCTTGTATCCATATAATATATATATATATATATATGCCCGTGCCAAATAGGCAGAACTTGCGATCTTGGCTTAAATAGCAACGCTTATCTTGCCATATATTACAAGTGAAAATTTGTGTATGCAATAATTTCACAAAAATCATTCTGAACCTAACGAATAAAAATACATTTCATTGTGTTTGTTTAGTTTTAAATTATTATAAACGTATTTAAAATATATTTAGTTGGGTTAGGCTAAAATAAACTGCGCTGGTTATAATAAGGTTAGGTAAGTTTTCTAAGATTCTTTTGGTACAAAATTATAATTTTTTACATTAACATTAATGAAAAAAATATATCTTTAAACGTGTAAGAGAAAATTTTAGAAAGGACTTAATTTTAAATGAGTTCTTGCTAAATGACCAGTTTTACATATTCGGCACGACATATATATATATATATATATATATATATATATACATATATATATATATACATATAATATATACATATTATATTACATATATATATATAAAATATATATATATACATATATATATAAAACATATATATATATATACATATATATATATACATATATATATATACATATATATATATACAATATATAATACATAATATATATACATATATTATATACATATAAATATATACATATAATAAAATATACATATATATATATATACATATATATATTTTTATTTTTTTTTTTTTTTTTTATTACACACCGGCCGATTCCCACCAAGCAGGGTGGCCCGAAAAAGAAAAACTTTCACCATCTTTTACTCCATCACTGTCTTGCCAGAAGGGTGCTTTACACTACAGTTTTTTTAAAATGCAACATTAACACCCCTCCTTCAAGTGCAGGCACTGTACTTCCCATCCTCCAGGGCTCAAGTCCGGGCCCGCCGGTTTCCCTGAATCCTTCATAAATGTACTTTGCTTTACACTCCCAACAGCACGGGCAAGTATTAAAAACCATTTGTCTCCATTCACTCCTATCAAACACGCTCACGCATGCCTGCTGGAAGTCCAAGCCCCTCGCACACAAAACCTTTTTTACCCCCTCCCTCCAACCCTTCCTGGGCCCGCCCCAACCCCCCTTTCCTTCCACACAACTGATACACTCTTGAAGTCATTCTGTTTCGCTCCATTCTCTCTACATGTCCAAACCCACCTCAAAAACCCCTTCCCTCACCCCTCTGGAAAAACATTTTGGTAATCCCGCACCTCCTCCTAACTTCCAAACTACAAAATTCCGCATTATATTCCACCACACTTTCCCCTCAACATACATCTCCACTCCCTCCAGCCTTCTCCTCGCGCAACATTATCACCCACGTTTCACCCCAAAAAAGGTTGGTAAAAAAATCTCTCATACTTTCCCCTCTTTGCTCCAAGGACAAAGGTTTTTTGTCTCCACAAAACCCTAATGCACCACTCACTCTTTTTCCCCCATCATTCATGATTCACCTCACTTTCAAGCCCTCTGCGAACTCCACTCCCAAATATCTGAATACTTCACCTCCTCCATACCTCTCCCTCCAACGATATTTTAAACTTTTATCACCTAACTTTTTTTTATCTCATAACCTTTCCTTTTCCCGTATTCCCTTTAATTTTCTTCTTTTGCACCCCTACCAAATTCATCCCAAAACTCGAACTCTCTTCAGAATCTCCCCAAAAACCCTTTCATCAGCAAAGAGCACTGTGACAACTCCCCCTTTGTGTTGATTCTTTATCTTTTAACTCCACCCCTTGCCAAGACCCCCCATTTACTTCTCTTTCAACCCCATCTAAAATATTTAAACAACCCCGGTGACATCACCATCCCGTCTAAGGCCTACTTTTTCGGAAAAAATTTCCCTTTTTTCCCTACATACTCTAACTTGAGCCCACTAT